CCCCGGCGCAGACAAAGGCGGCCGTGGGAACCCGCGTGCTCTCCCCTCTCAGGTATGCTCCGCAAGCTGGACATCAAGAGCGAGGACGACGTCAAGTCTTTGTCTCGCGTGATGGCTCACGTGTTTAGTGACGGAGTAACAAACTGGGGCAGGATTGTGACCCTTATTTCTTTTGGTGCCTTTGTGGCCAAACACTTGAAGAGTATAAACCAAGAAAGCTGCATTGACCCGTTAGCGGAAAGCATCACAGATGTTCTCGTAAGGACGAAGCGAGACTGGCTAGTGAAACAAAGAGGCTGGGTAAGTTGGTTTTGAGGCCCTGGGGGGGGACCCGGGGTGGAAATGGGACGGAGGGTTTGAGAGGAGGTGGGGTAGTAGCTGAAGGTGGTCACGATGCACGACTCGGTTTTCACGCTCGAACTTACGGGCCTCCGGTTGCTTGGTGATGATGGAAATAGTGAATCCACAGAGACAGTGGGATGACTGTCTTTAATTTGTTGCATCAAAAACCCTGGTTTCCTGTAGGCTATTTTGCTGGATACTGAGTCCTTTTTTTTTCTTAATTTTAACTTCTTTATTGATTAAGGTATTACATATGTGTCCTTATCCCACCATACCTCCCCCCCCGACCTCCCCAACTCATGCCCTCACCCCCCTGTTGTCTGTGTCCATTAGTTAGGCTTATATGCATGCATACAAGTCTTTGGGTTGATCTTGGATACTGAGTCTTGCTTTTGTTATTTTATTGTAATTTAGTTGGATACTCATAACACCAGTGGATTCAAATTATGAAGCGGTGTTACCTGGGGATAGTAAAATACATTCCTTGATGCACACCCACCCTCATTTTAAGTGAATGTCTCTTTTGCAGCGGGGCGGGGGGTGGGGGCGTAAATAATGGTTCATAGTTTCCTGGAGGCGGGGCTTAGATTTGTAGGTTGGTGGAAAAACCCCATACCTGAAAATGTGCTTTTCTTTTTGTTTTCTAGGATGGGTTTGTGGAATTCTTCCATGTAGAGGACCTAGAAGGCGGCATCAGAAATGTGCTGCTGGCTTTCGCAGGTGTTGCTGGAGTAGGAGCTGGTTTGGCATATCTAATAAGATAGCCTTTTAAGTGAAATAATTGACTCTTAACCAACTCCAGGCACCAGATCCACATCTGCTGTGAAACCAGTGTATTTATGAAGTTGGACTTCGAAGCTGTCCAGGCTGTAACCTCCAAGCAAAGTAGAAAAACAAGTGGCAAGAGGATTGTGGCTAATCGGAATAAATAACATCGAAAAAGTAGTCCCCATTGAAGAGTCACTGTCTAAAAGAAGCAAAGTTAAGTTTCAACAACCGGCAAACTTTGGGAGGCCCTGAAGGAGGACTTTTAGATTTAGTGAAGATGGTAGGGTGGACTTGCTATCCTTGCCTAGAACAGGAGAGTGGCCAGTAGCCAGGCTAGTCATATAGAGTTCATTAAATATGCCCATTAATTTCTATAGTGTTAAAAGAGAAGCACTAACAATGCCAGTGAACTGTAAAGTGGATTTAAGCTACAATAGAAATATGACTAGAAGCCTCAGTACTGTACAACAGAGTGTGAAGGGAAGCTTTTTCCTCTGTATAATTGGCTTTCCCAGGTATGCTTCTGGAAGAATAGAAAGTCCAAGTGCGCAGGACTTTATACCTGTTCTACTTTGACTTGGTTTGAGTGGTTTAGTTTGTTAGTCTTGTAATGGCCACAAATACTTGACTTAAGGCTCAATAATTGTAGTTACAAATGTGGATTATCCTCAACTTTTAAGATAAAAACAACTTGTAAATGTGTTTGTCTGTAAAAATTGTATATATTTTTACAGAAAGTCTATTTCTTTGAAATGTAAAGGCACAAGAGTAGAATTTCCATTAGTTTTTTTCATACCCTTTTGAAATTTACAATTTCTATAGTTAGGAACCTATTTCTTACAGCTTTTCTATCCTAAACTTTGTCCTGGTCAATTCTAGATTGTATACAGAACCAGTTGATGTAATTGTATGCAACCTGGTTGTGATGGAACAATTCTGATTCATAACTATGCAGGCTTTAATTTTCCTATCAGATTTTGGTAAGTATTCCTTATAGGGCTTTTTTTTTTTTTTTTTTAAATCTGGGTTGAGAAATTGGGTAATGGAAATTCTTTCACTTGGTTACATGTAGATTTTCAGTAATTGAGTCAGGTTGTTTTAGGGGGGTGGGGGTGGGGAGTGGGGAGCAGGCCGATGATTTACAAATAATGAGCTCTGATTGGGCAACAAGTTGTTTTGAGTTCCTTCTGTTGGACCTAGCTTAACTGGTGAAATTTGTGTTCATGAGCTCATCTGCAAAGCTTTTAAAGAGATTTTCAGCTGTTCCAAATGGGATTTACTAGCCGTGTGTGTATAAAAAGATCTCATCAGGTGGATGAGAGACGTTTGATCCCTTTGCTTAATAAGTTGTACAATGATGGCTTTGAAAAGCAGACTATAGTCTAACCATGGTGCTATTTTAGGCTGGCTTGTTAAACACAGGTCTAAGCCTAACATATAAATAAAGCAACTACTTAATTGTTTCTATTAATGATTCCCAAACTTTGTTTTAAATTTTTGCATTGGCATCCCTTCGGATTTCAGAACTTGTTTTATTGAACTTACCATTTGTTTCCTATTTTTCCTTTGAATTATTATTTGCTGCTTGTTCTGCTCCCTCTACAGATACTTAGATAAATTCCTACATCTTTACCCTGCCATCCCTGAACTCTAGCCTATTTAGTTTTGGGCACTAGGAACCTAAGTAACCACCCCTATAGGAGTCCACAGACCTTTATCCTTCATGAATTTTATCCTTGGTAGTACAATGGGTTCTGTGACGACAAGTCATGGTCATGAGGTGAGAGGAGTCCCTTTTCCTTGGACTGGTACTTTTTGGTTTTAGCTTTTCCTACCTTTTTTGGGAGAGGGGAGGGAATTTCAAAAGTCCTCTTAAAAATTTTTAGAGGGGAGACTATCTTACATGACTTTGTCTAGATTCCTTTGAATATGATCGTTTAAAATTGTAGAACTAGGTACAGAGTGCTGTAAAGGCTACTGGTCAAGCTAAAGTAAGCAATGTTGGAACTAGGGTCATTTGAAAGCATCAGCCTCAGAACGTGATCTTTAGTCTGTGGACTCCAGATAAAAATAGGCATGAATAAAATGACTAAGAATGTAATAGGGAAGAATGCCCTGCCTGCCCATCTCCGAGCCATAAGGTCATCTAGCTAGAGCTATTTTTACCTATGTATTTATCATTCTTGATCATAAACCACTTATTTATATCATGTCTGTCTCTAAGGACCTAAAAGCACTTTATGTAGTTTTTAATTAAACTTAAGATCTGGTTAAGGTGACTAAAAGGCCTGTCTCCCCATATCCAGTTGTGGAAATGAATGCATAGATGTAAGTTGGTGGCATTTAGGGGCCCAATTTACTAGGTGTGACTGCTAAATGAGGATCTTAGTTAGTATTGTTTGTGAGGGCTTAGGGAGCCCAAGTGCTTTGGGAAAGGGTGGATGGTTTTATATGGAGAGGAGGCACTTGTTCTAAGTGCTGACTAGCTACATACTTCAGGCAAATCCTCCCAAATGGGAAAGGAGGGAATGCTTGGGAAGATGGCTGTCTCAGCAACTTCTGTCTTATGCTTCTCTCAGGGAAAAACCTTCAGTCCTCTAGTGTAACATTCTATAGGGGTGGACACCTTGGTTCTAGTTAGACAGCTGCTATTAACAGCTGTACCATTGGGGTTAGGACCAACTACAAATTAAATGTGGGCTGTAAAATGTAGTGTGTTTCCCTAACTTCCTGTTTTTTCCTGAGAAGAAAATAATAAATCTTTATTCAAATGCAAGGTGTGGTATGGGTGTTTTCTAATCTGTTGCCTGTCTTCCTTCCCCATCTTAGGCAAGCATTTTAGGAAAGTCAGCTGAGCAAATAAGTAAAGGTGAATTAACAAACAAAAGCAGCCCCATAAAGCTAATTTGCCTTAGAGCAAAGGACAGTTCCCTTCCTTTCATTCAAATTAGAGATGTTGGATTTTTAATTAAATGTATTACTGTTGTACTTTGGAGTAGTTCCTGTACATTTTAATGCAAAAATCATAATTTATGTTCAGATTTTCTTTTTGTCATCAAATGCTGGTACAATTTTGATGTCAGAGGGTTCAATCTCCCTGTCTCTAGAAGAATTAACACCCAAAGTTAAGGGTTTTAATAAGATTCTTGGTAGTAACGTTTCAGTACTTTTCCCCTTTCCTCTGCCAAAAGAGGTGAGAATAAGCAAGTCAGTTTCAGAAATGCTATCCTGTATTTTCTGCTAGCCTAGAGTCACCATGGAAATGTGCAAATAGGAGGTTTGCATATTGGTTTTAAGCCCTGAGCACAAAATGCTAATGTGTAAGCAGGATTCTGTGCTTTCCCCCATAACTACCAGACAGCAACATTTTATTGCAAAGAAAGGGGTTTTTGTACAAGTGCATACCCAAGGAGAGGGGTGGAGGGTGGGTAACAGGACACAAGGGCCCAAACCTTGCTTGGCCTGAGTCTAAAGAGTTTTATTATTCCCAGTTATATGTTCTGACATGAAGCCCTGTCTGTGGCAATATTCCTTAGTGGAACACCCCCAAAACTTGGGTAACCAGGTACCATGAGTCACTGAGCAAGTCAAAATAACACTTCCCTTCATTTGTTTGACACAGCCAGACTTTCAGTTCCTGTTTTGTGACTAGAGCCACTTCACACTATTTCAGAAAGTTTCAAGAACTTGACAGGTGGGAAATTTTACAAAAATTTAAGTGAAATAACTTGTTCCAGCCAGATTCCCAGAACACACAGGCCATTAATTCCTGGGGTTGACGATGATCAGTTGAGTCTTAATTTATCCTAGTTCTCATATGGCTCCACTTGTCAGTGATTACAGAACTTTGTCTTCTTGAACCCTCCCACACTGTTCAGAGGGTTCTGGGATCCAAGTTTTGAAAACTTTGTCCCTCTTTTGTTTCAAAGTTACAGTGTTCTCTTAGTTATGTGAAGCATGTGGAACAATGAGGGTGGGGAATCTGCCTCCAGGCAGAAGTAAAAGACCTTTCTGAGAATTCAGTGTTCTTTACTAAAGATTCTTGTGAAGTAAAAAAAAAAATATATATATATATATATGAGTGGCAAACTTTTTTCCCCACACTATTCCTGGTGTTTCTTAGAGCTCCTTTCCTTAACTGATGAGAAAAGTAGTTCCTGACTGTTGGGAAGTGTGTTAGGGCCAATTTTACTCCTTGCAAATAACCATTTCCATAGCTTGCTTCTGCCTTTGGTTTCTGTATTCTTACTTTGCCTTCTCTCATTCCCTGTTCAGGGATTACCTTAGTTTATTAAAAATTCTTTAACACTGTAATGAGCTGGGACATTTAATGAGCTGTAGGCAACCAGATGCTGAGTCTCAATCCCATTACATGGCAGTGGACTGCTTGTTGTGTACTATGCACTATTGGATGTGGGAATCATAAAGGGAATAATTCTTTAAGAAACTCAGTCAGAAAAGACAGGGAACAGTCAAAGAAACATGATAACTAAATGCAAGGTGATCTCTGGATCCTGAATGAATAAAAAGCATAAAGGACATGAAGACAATTAGGGAAATTTTAATATGGGCAATATGTTAGTACTGTCAGTGTTAAATTTTAGAGTATTACATTGTAGCAATGTAAGAGAATGTATTTGTTTATAGGAGATACATTCTGAAAAATTTGTGCATAACTAGAATGAGAAAGCAATTACGGCAGAATATTAAAGCTCACAATTTAGTAGGATGACAAAAATAAGTAGAACACAGTGCACAAAACTGCTATGGTAAAGCAGTATAAGAATAAGGAGGTTGGACCTTAAAGAATGAGTGGAAACAACATGCATGGAGTTCGGAAAGAACCTCTACAGCTGTAGGAGGAAGAGATAGATATTTTTCTTCTCATCATTTCATCTTTACTCCCTGCCTTACTTCCCCTTTGCCATACATGACCAGAGAGTATATATTATCTCCATTTGGGGCCTTAATATAAAAACTAGAGGCCTGATGCATGAAATTCGTGCACGGATGTGGTCCTAGGCCTGGCTGGCGAATGAAGCTCGAGCATCTGATGTGGAAGGGCAGGACCCAGCTGACCTCTGGGCCCTGGGCAGCACCTGGGCCCCCACGTGCCCCCTCCACCTGAGTCATTAGGCCCTGCCAGCTCCCTCAGTGCGTGGGAGCCGGGCAGCAGCCCCGTCCACCAATCGCTGTCCGGCCGCTGTCTGTGGGGTGATCAGCTGGGTGATCGGGCCCTGCTCGCACCCGCCTTGGCCTGGCAGCGCCCGCTCACCTATTCCACCATCCTGCTGCAGGCCTGCTCCCATTGGGGGCAGCTGGGCCTCCACTGCTGCCCGCTGCCAGTGCCGTGTTGCTGACACCGGCCATGTTTTGTGCCGCCCCCTGGTGGTCAGCACACGTCATAGCGAGCAAACTGGTGGAGGGGACAATTTGCATATTAGGCTTTTATTATAGGATATTGGGAAACGTGTAGAAAAAAAGACGTATTTTGTCTTAGAGGTCTGAATTTGGTGTAAATGACTGAGTGCATTGTATTTACTTGAAAAGTAAAGATAGATTTCATTGTTAACTATCATGTTAAAATTGTGGCCCTGAACACACAACTTTAGGGTTGTGAGTGCAGGTGTTGGCACTGGCAGGCCTGCTTTGAATAAAGTCTTAAGAGCATCACCTGAGATAGTTCACGCACACATCTCACCAGCCATGTGTCATCGTCCCCCACCCAGGTTCACATAACCATGGAGTGTAGGACTGAGTGCTATGCTTTCTGCAGAACAGAATTTTAATAAGGAACAGCCCCCCCCCCCCCCCCCCCCCCCTAGACCGCCAGATACTGAATGATGGCTCTACTCTCCCTAATCTTGTTCCCGTGGGAGACTTACAGCTATTGCCATCCTGGTTCAAAAAACCAGTTTGCTCTGACTGCCCAGACTGCCCCACCGGCTGCATTCTTGCTTATGAGCTCATTGTTTTGGCTTCTCTGCCTGTATAAATCCACAGCCAGTGCCAGAGGTCTCAGCCGAGGCCCCTAACTAGCTGGAGCTGCATTCCATTCAGAATTTCACCACCCCCACTTGGTTTTCTTCCCGCCCTCCTGTGGTCACATGTGTGTGTTTATTCAAGTTAGCCTGGGGACAAGGTGTGCTGGGAAAGAGCCAAGGAAAAGAATGTTTTAACTGTTGGGTTTCATCCTGGCATTGAACGATGAGTTTTCCACTTTATTTTGATTAAGAAACGTTTAAACTCTGCCCCCCAAAAAAGTTAATTGTCTAGTAGAAGGAGTTGGTCTTGAAAATTTTGTTAGACATTTCATTGTCTCCCTTACCAGGCTGGTATGACTCTCAGGTGTCCAGATTTTGGGGGGAGATAGGGATTTCCCCTAGGAAACATTGCTTTCATATGCATTATATTCCTGTCTCTATACTCAGTCCTCTCATGCATTCCATTCTCAGCTCACACCTCCATTCTTGAGGTTGCCTGGAGCAGTTACCACCCATCTCCTGTCCTTGGTGGCAAAGGGGGGTGGAGGGGGGGTTGGGGCGAGGAGAGACAGCTGGGCTCCTGCAAGGAGCAGCTGTTGGGTTTCACTGCTTGTTACTGAAATTTCCTGGGAGGGTAGCTTGTTTATTTCCTTAGACTCTCAAAGCTCAGATCTAAGGCAAGGTGGGGCCATCCACTGATAGGGCATTTCTCTTTAAATTTTGGATTAACACTATATGGTTGAGCAGTTCCTTTCCACCAATCGTCTCCTTTTCATTGTTTAAAAAAAAAACAAACTAGACTGAGGTTGTGGGAGGTGACATTTCTCATTTCTCAGAAATCCCTCTTGAGGCAAGTGAAGAAACAGAAAGAGGAAAATGAGGTTTTGTTTTGAAATGAGGTCTTGTTTTCAGAGTTTAGTAATGGTGGAGTTTACCTGCTTCCTTGCCCCTCCCCCCCACCTCCAAGTTTTTGGTAGTCAGGTCTGAACCAGGATAGGGTTCCCAATTGTGAACCATGAAAGATATATGTAAATTCTAGTGAATGAAAGAAAAACTTCTAATAACAATAAGGATTTGGAAGCAATCCCTGATGTAGGTTATTTTTAAATTTATTTTAGAGGGAGAGAAACACCTAGTCCAATGATTTATGCATTTGTTGGTTCTTTTATGTGCCCTGAGTGGGGATCTAACCCACAACTTGGTGTGTAGGGACAATGCTCTAACTGAGCTAGACCAAGTATATTTGTTTTATTACTTCCTTGGACCCACACACTGAATACATTTGAAACGATTTTTAATTCCTTGCAACTTTGTGTTGGAAAATAAAAATTTAGATAGTATTATTTTTCCTAAAATGCTGAGAAGTCATGAAAGACAGTTGAAAACAACAAAAACATTTAAAACCATTCAAGTTGTGGATCACTGCCCCAAATTACCGAGTGTTCTGATAAAGGGTGCTCTAGCTGAGTGAAACTGGGTAAGAACAAAGGAATAAGGTAGGATTTTGTGAGGGTCTGGAGCAAGTCTTCCCCAGAATGTGTCAAACTCACATGCACATTCTTTTGAGCTGAAAACAAAGCCTTAACAAACTCAGGAAGAGGTTTTTTTTTTGTTTGTTTTTTACCTCCCCCTTAACCTGCCTAAAGAGATTCAGATTAAAAAACCTGCTTCCGGAAGGCAACCTTTATGGGTTAAGTGGCAGACTGGGAGGATCCCAGCAAAAATCTGTTCCTTAGATTCCCCTTTATGTCCCATTGTTTCTGGGTGGCCCTGCGAGAATTTGTTTACCAAATGTTTGCTCTTTTCTCATCTACCTGTGAATTGCCTATGTGGAGAAGTGAAAAATAATTTTCCTTCCATCATTCTAAATTCTTCTGGTTTAGTCTAATAATCCAATTAACAGATACAGATTAACAGGAGAAAATGTCCAAAATTTATTACAGATGTACATAATGCCCAAAATTTGGGGGAAGGACAAAGGTTTTTCTCCAATCTTATTTCTTAAAAACCAGTTTTAAATCAATATCTCAAAAGCCATATTTTTGGGTGGCAAAACTGGTCACCCCCTCCTTAGTCCAAAATGACATATATACTTCATTTTGCCTCACTGACTTTAGAATATTCATGCTTATCTGACTTCCCCATGCACACATTATTAAAATTTGATTTTCTCTTGTTAATCTGCTGTATGTCATTTGAATTAATCAACCAACCAGAAGACCTAAGGGGTTAGGGGGAAGTTTCCCCAATTTAAAGAGTGAAAAAGACTAGACTAGGTCTCAGGCCTTAATTTTCTCCCCTGTAAACTGGTTTTAATTGTCCTTATTATTGTGAAGATTTAAAAGTTAGATATACAAGTACTTTACCTTAAAGCACTATACCAACGTGAGGAATGTCAGGACTCTTTAAAGGTTTATTACTCCAGTAATTTTCAACCTTTTCCATTGCATGGCACACATAAACTAATTACTACAATTCTGCGGCACATCAAAGAATGTGTTTTTTGCGGATCTGACACACACACAAAAAGGTATACTTTTGAGTCATTCACACTGGACGGCTATTGTGTTGCCTGTTGTTTTTTTATTTGACAATCAAAGGGTGAAAAGAAAGGTCAGTGCCCCTGACTAAAAAGCTGGGTATTGCAGGTTTTAAAAATTCTTGTACACCTGTGTGCCTCTTTATTAGCCATTTTCAAGTAATTGAATTCCCTGGGAGAAGCCACTAAGCAAGCAGCAGACATCAGTAGGTAGGAGGCTGGATTAAAAGGTTCTACAGCTGTATTTGGAAGCCCAGAGAGGACACAAACAGGACTTTCTGGACAGAGCAGATCAGCCAGATAGAAAAAAATCCCAGGGGTCAGTGTACTACCTGTCTGCCAAATTGGCCCTAGCACCCATTTTTGTCCAGCCTGAAAACTAAGAAAGGGTTTTTTGCATAGAAAATGAAAAAAAAATTTTTTTATGACTGGTTAAAATGATATAAAACTAAAATTTCAGTGTCAAGAAGTTGATCGGAACACAGCCACCACGCCCATTTTTTACATGTGGTCCTGGGTTGCTTTGGTGCTGTCATAGCAGAGGTGAGGAGATGCAGCACAGGTCCTGTGGCCTACAAAGTCGAAATATTTACTCACTGGTCCTTTAGAGAAAATCGTTGCCCACTCCTCTACTCGAGCTAAAAAAGAGCCTTACAATGTGATGAATCAGTAGTGGGGTGTGTGTGTGTGTGAACGAAGAGATAACTCTGGTGCCAAGGGCAGATAAACTTAACCCCTTGTCAAGGGCAGGGCCTTTGCCACCTTGCCTTTTAGCCAAGGGGTCCCAGAAACACAGTTTGCTCTTTTTTATGAGTAGCACCACACTCTCCCCAGTTTCTTTCCTCCACTCAAAAGTTCTGTGGAGCTATGTCATCAAGAGATTCACTCAAGGCTCAGAGGGTACAACACACGTATTCTAACCCCACATGGGACCTTCCTGAAGTGGAACCCATCCCTCCTCTAACCACGGAGGTTCTTTCCCAGGCCACTCATAGTTCTCTGGCGCTCCCTGAGAAAATGCTCTGTTCTGTCCACTGCACTTCCCCTTCAGCTGATTGGTTCCCTAAAATCTGGTGGCCATGGCTCACGCATACTTTATTTGGACTAGTCTTGTACGTTCCTCTCTCAAACCATTTCTACCTTCAGACCTCAGCCCTGAAACACCCTCCTCTAGAGTTGTATCCAAGTTTCCTGGGTCAAGCAGCCCAAAGGCACATCATGATGTGTGCTGGCTAGTTTAAGGTTAACACAAAACCACTCATGTTGACAAACTTAGACTAGGTACTTTCCTGAGGCTTTCTACTTCCTGTAAAGGTGCCTCTCGCCCTTTAAAGCTGACACCTCCTCATCACCTGTGACAAATAAGCCCCCTCTTCACTACCCCCCAACCCCCAACTCCCCCAACTAATTCCCAGCACTAGAGATGGTGGGATTGAGGCATGTTCCTAGGAGAGAGGGCAGGAATCTCCACCCTCACCACACAGAGTCCCAAACTACAACTCTCTAGTCTGGCATGATCCTCCTGGTTCAAGAGGGTAGGTCTCCCTGGCTCATTTACTCGAGTGGGGGAGGTTGTTAAATTAAAATGAAGTTCTCTGTTTGTAAAACTGGGGAGAAGAGGAAAGCAAGAAATGAAAGAGGATCTGGTTGGAGAGAATCTGAAGGGTTGCTTCTCCTTGTGTTTGGTTCTCTCCCTGCCCTCCCACTACTCTCAAGGTCTACCTAGATGCTCCAACCATAGTTCCCAAGCGCCTGAGAGAGGTGACTTGCAGCTGAGACACTCATTGCCTAGGCCAGCAACCGAGTCCCTGTGCTCTGCTGCCCTCCTAGTTCCCGGAGAGGTTGAATCTGGACTACGGAGGCGACAGGGACGAAAAGAAGCCTCCACAGGTCCAGCCTCGCAGCTGTGAGTGCACCTGATTGCAGGGCAGCTGTGAGCACCGGCTTGCAGGGAGGCCCAAGGGGTTGGGGAAGTCTAGGAGCTAAATTTAGTCTGAAGGCCACAGCTCAACTGGGTGGGTAATTACCCTGGGGAAGCTGGGAGGGGGCAGGGAGAATACTGACCCAGCTGAACTAAGACCTCACAAGTTCACCCCTACGCACACTGACATAGAACCACAGTCCTCTTGCAAACCCTCAGCAATGAGGAGTCCTCAGCCTTTGCTGGCCTTCTCCATGCTTCATCTCTCTTGTGCATATCAAGGTTGTTCCTATCACCACCCCACCTCACCTTAGTTCTCAGGGGTGCACTTCCTCTGAGTCCTTCCCTAAATTCCCCTCAGTACGCTAGACCTCAGGCCCCTCCACACCTTCCTGGCTTTGGTTGTAGCTTCCTCTCTCCCAAGTCCCTCCAGAGGGCTTCAGAGGTCAACAACGAGGTATCCGGCCTGGCTGGTGCTGCTCAGTGGTTGAGCTTTGATGCATGAACCAAGAGGTTACAGGTTCAATTCCCGCTAAGGGCACAAGCCCAGGTTGTGGGCTCAATCCCCAATAGAGGGCGTGCAAGAGGCAGTCCATGTTTCCCTTTTATCAGTGTTTCTCTCTCTATCCCTCTCCCTTTCTCTCCCTCTAAAATCAGTAACATATTTTAAAAACAACAAGGTATCTGGCCACACTACTCCCCTCTATGGAGCCTGGAAAAGGGGTTGCTTGGGGCCAGGTTCCCCTTCCTGAAAACTTCCACACTGACCTCAGTCACCAGAGGAAAGAATCCTTAGGGACCTCAAAGAACCTTAGCTTTAAAATGCGGGGGAAGGGGCGACCCCAGAGGAAAGCCCACTCCTGAGAAGTCAGGGACTGGAGGCCAAGAGGAAGCTGCTCAAAGGAGGTACTGAAGCAGGGGGGAGCCTTGCAAGGGGATGTGGCTGCTTTCCCCAACCTGTGATTGGCTCTCTCGCTCAGGCCAAACCTGCCCAGCAACAGCCTTGAGAGGCCCTACCAGGGAGGGTGAACTTAAGGGAAGTCAGCTGAGCCGGGGCCACCGCCCAGCCGGCTTCCAGGAATCGATGGGAGGGCCCGAAGCGACTCACCACCACTCCTCCCTAATCTAAGGGCTCAACCTCCAGTATCTGCTGGGCGGGCCAGGTCTTGCTCCCCTGGCCCCGTGGATCTTGGGTCCCCTTGCAGGTTCGCCAGAGGAACAAGTCTCTTTAGTGTCCTGTTCAGGCTGAGCAGAGCCTTCCGGGCTGGGGTTCCCTCGGACCCCCTTCCCTCACTCACGCCTTGTCCAGGGCTCACGTCGGTTTTATTTTCCTTCCCCTCCATGCCCTTTGGCCTCCTTCCTCACCCACTCTCAAGGTAGAGTCCAAAGTCTTCCTGCCCAGCCACTCCAGCCCAGGGGGAGCCCAAGTCCCAAGGCAGCCGTGTGAGCAGGCGTCTGGGCGTTGCTCAGGGACAGGAGTCGCCGAGTTCAGCGGTCTCTGCGGGCCTTTATTCATGGCCTTCCTCGGGCAGACGGTGGAGGTGCAGAGCAGGGTGGGTGGGTGGGAGGGGAGGGATGCTTCCAGAAGTGGAGACCTGGACTTGGCCCTCAGGTCGGTTGGGGTCAGGGAAAAGGCTGCCGGCTCTCACACCACCTCCAGCAAAGCTATTTACCTTGAGAGATTAAACGAGAGGGGGAGGCAGGAGGGCGGCGACTGGGGTGAGACATCTCTGAAGAATGTGTCTTTGGCAGGACATCCAGTTCTGCCTAGAGCCAGGCCAGGCTCCACCTCCAGCCATTTCTGCTGAGGGAAGGGGGGAGAGGGGCCCTCGGAAATCACTTCCTCCCCCCACGCTCTCCATACACACCCTGTGAAAAGCAATAAACCAACGGCTTCATGGGGAAATGGGTAACAGCAGAAAGGATGGGGGAGGCCGGAAGACAGGGCCAAAGAGAGAGAACAGGAAAAAAGACCCTTGAAAAGGGAGCTGCCATTTCAGCTCAGCCCCAAATTGAAAGTAGGGCTATTAGAGGCCAAGAGACTTTACAGAAAGACCCAGCCGACCAGGAAACTCACCCCAGGCCCGGCGGTTTTTCCTCCGAGGGACCCAAGCTCCCAACTCCATACCTAAACTGGGAGAAGTGATGACCTCTAGTGGCCAATGACCAATCTGCAGGGGCTGTGGCTGGCCAGGATCCTGGCCCTGGGACCCAGGCTTCTGCTCTCAGGTGATGGGGGCTCACCAATGAGCCTTTCTGGGCCCAGATTCTCTCCACCTGGGCTCCTCCTGCCCCACACACGGCTGAGTGCTGTTTCCTCTTCTCACCCTTCATTCTGACCGGACTCTGCTTGTGTAGGGGGCTCATATGGCTGGGTTTCCATGAAGACATTAAAGAGCCTGTTTCTCATTTGTCATATAATCTTCTTTAATAAAAAATAAATTAGTTCTGGGGCGGGGGCCATTTCAGGAGGTGGGAAGCAGGAGCAGGGGCTAGGTGGCCTTATTCTAACCTTTCTCTTTCCATCCTCTGCCCAGCTGGTCCCGGTTCTGGGAAGTTAGTCACTTTTCCTGGGGTAAGACAAGCTTGGCAGGGGCTGACCCGCACCCCTAGCTAATTAATTATGAGGGGTGCGATAGAGAGACCAGGTAAGGGGGGAAGGGGTCTGAGGACAAAAGGGTGGTTTAGAAGAGGGAGGCCTGACCATGAGAACTGAGGTTTAGGGCACAAAGTTGGAATTGATGGGGGGCGGGCAGTCACTAAGCAGCTCAGATTACTAAGGAGCTGCAAACGTGCTTTCCTCTCAGCCTAGAAGTGTCTCAGGGAAACCGCCATCGCCCCCTCCCCCTTCCTTCACAGTCTAACTTCTTTGTGAGAAGTGACACACACTTTTGAGTGTACACACGCCCATGCAGGTCCAGATGCACATTTGGGGACATACATGCACACACACCATCACACCACCACATCCTGCCTCCTTCAACCACCCTGGGGGACATCCCTGGTGAGACTAGGACAGACTGGAGAGCCAGAGGGTACAAAGCGAGCAGACTGATGGGTGACCGACGGTGGCATGAGAAACCTTGAGGAGAGGTTCTCCTGGACCCATTTCAGGCGGGCTCCGGGGGAGACCGCTCCAGGGCATGGGCACAAGAGCGGCAACAGGTGGCTGTGTAGTAGGGATAGACGCAGAGCCGGGCCTGGACCACCAGGGGGCAGTGTGGAGAGCTGTCCTTGCATTGGTCATCTGGGGAAAGAGGAGGCCAGTGGGCACAAGATAGCCGTTGCCAAGACCCACCCCTCTGGAGGAGTGTTGCCCTCTCCGCTGGTCCTTTCTCTATGTAGGTGGCCCACCCACACCTCAGCCAACTCCATTCTCCTGGGAGGTGGGAGAGGGGCATTTACCAGGGCGCTGGCTGCAGGGCTGGCTGTTACAGGGCCGCTTCCGGGAGGGCCGCAGATGGACAGGGCAGCGGGTGCTGAGAGTCTGGTTGGCAGTCAGGCACTGGACCTCCCTGGTCTGCACACCACCCTGGCAGGAGCGAGAACACTGGGGAGACCCCAGCTACCAAATCAAACCTTGTCTGTGCCCCAGGCTCCTCCTGAACCCCAGGCCGCCTCCTCTGAAAGGAGGGTGTGAGCGAGACTGTCCTGGGACATTATGACATCCCACCTGGAGAGGGCCCACCTGTCTTTCAGGGGAACAGGAAGTAGGACAATGTGAGGCTGCAGCTGGCCTCGTCCTGGGCACAGATGCCGGGTTTAGTGAGCGGAGCCTCCCCTTCCCACACTGAGCAGGGCTCGGGAGCCAGGCACTCACCGGACTCCAGGGGGTAGAAAACCATCGGTCCTGGCAGTCCTGCCCCTGACAGGGCTGCAGGGCAGGGGGCCTGGGCAGGTGGGAACAGTTGCTGGGAGAAGTCACGTTGAACTCAGTCCCCAGTTTGGACACACAGATGACATCTCTACGCTGTGTGCCTGAGCCACAATCTGAGGAGCACTGATGGAGAGGAAGCATTGGGTGTACAAGGGGAAGGGAGAGCAGGGATCACTCCCCACTGCCCACAGGGAGTCCACTGACAGCCCCCCCTCCCAGCTCACCTCCGCCCAGGGCCCCGTGTACCAGCACCATGTCCTCTCACAGGGGCCCAAGCTGCAGGCACGCATGTCAGGGGGGCGGCTTCCTGGGGCACAGCTCTGCTCACTGGTTCCCACTCCTGCTTCCTCCTGGCCTGCCCCACGGGTCTCCCCACTCCCGAGGCAGACCACAGAACGCCGCTGGATTCCCGTCCCACACTCGGCCGAGCACTGTGAGCAGCAGAGCAGAGGGGGCTGGGTGAGGGGGGATGCGAGTGATGAAGAGGGGAAGAGGCAGGGGCTGAGAGGATCCATGTGTCCTGGATCCAGATCCTGGGAGTTAGGGAATGTCCCAAGGGTACCAGCCAGATAAGGGGAACCTTTGCTGGAAGTTTTGTTCATAGTGGAAATTTTTCTCACTTATCTCCATGTTCCCAGCACCAGCAGTGTCTAGCACATAGTAGGTGCTTGCTTAGTAAATATTATACACACACACACACACACACATATATATAATTGATTTCAGAGAGGAAGGAAGAGGAAGAGATAGAAACATCAATGATGATAATCATTGATCAGCTGCCTCCTGCACACCCCCTACTGGGGACTGAGCCCCCAACTCAGGCATGTGCCCTGACTGGGAATTGAACCATGACCTTCTGGTTCACAGGTCGATGCTCAACCACTGAGCCACACTGGCCAGGCAGTAAATGCTTATTGAACTGTTTGGGAAAGTCTCTAATAGGTTGTGCTGGGTGTGGGGCCCACCTTGGAGCTCCAGTCGCTGTGGAACCAGGCCATGGTACAGGGCCCCATGTCACAGGCCTCTTTGCTGGGGGGCCGCGGGGGTCCTGAGGCGCACTCCCGTTCGCTCACTTCATCACCATTGTTTCCGACACAGCGAACCTGCCGGCTCCTCTGGCCGCGCCCACAGCGCACAGAACACTGCGGGGATGAGGGGATCCAAGGAGCTGGGCCTGGCTTCCTCACCAGCCGCCAGCTCTGTGGCTTTTTTTTTTTTTTAATTATACTCTTTATTGTTGAAAGTATTACATATGTAGCTCTGTGGCTTTTGAACAAGGATCTGCCTTTGATTCCTGGCTCAACTGGTACATGGCTTTGTGGGGTGGGCATGGGCCTCTGGGCCCAATCCCAGATTCAGCCTCTTATCTGACTAATAGATTGGGGTTCCATAAGAGATCTTGTTTGTAAAACATTTCTGATTAAAAACAAGTTGGGAAACCACTGCTCTAGCTCACTGGTGCCCACTCCCTTAGGATCCTCCCCCTCGGAAAGCCTGCTTGTCTGGTCCCACTCACCTGGCTCCAGGGGGAACGGACCTCCCAGTGGCCACAGAGGCGCAGCTGGCAGGGTTGGGTGATGTTGGGCCGGGGGAGGTGTCCACAGCGTTCAGGGGGCACTGAGGAGCCACCCCCCCCAAACTCCTGCCGGCAGCGTAGCTGGCGGTGCTGGGTGCCGGGGCCACAGGAGCGGCTGCAGGACGTCCACTCGCCGGCCTCCCAGCTGTGGTTGTGCGCAGGGTGGGGGAGAGACAGAGCCACAGGTGGCAAAAGAGAAGATGTGTGGGGCTGCCATGTGCGGGGGGTGGGGACCCTCCGAGGAGAGGGGCACGTTTAGCATCGGAGTCGGGGCTCTCCTGTGGGGCTCGGGCTGCCGGGTTTCCTTCTGCCTATGGACGGCCAGCCTTGCTAATGGGACACTGTCTCTGTGGCCAGGAGATTCATTTGCCCGCAGAGTCCGGGTGAGGCCTGGGCAGCGAGGATGTGTTTGCCTGGAGCAACTGTTGTGTCCCCAGGACTGTGCCCCTCCCTGTGGGTCATACTCACTATGGGGGGCACGGGGGGCCGTGGCAGGGCTCCAGAGAGACTGGGGGTCTGGTGCCCACAGCACAGCTGCGCTCATCCAGTTCCTCTCCCGACTCACGAGAAATGCAGAGGAAGATGGGGCTCCAAACGCCTGGAGGGGTGAGAGGGAAGCCAGGGGATCGTGCTAGTGGGGTCCCGGGTTGGGCACAGAGTCGGCGAGGTGTGGCCCCACGATCTAGGGTCTGCAACCAGGAGTGTCACGTTGGGGACTTGGGCTGAGGGTGCCAGGAACACAGGCTGCTGTGTGAGTCTCACCTTTCCCACAGGATGCTGAGCACTCGGAGTGTCCCACTCGTTTCCAGAATCCGGCGGGAGACCCCAGGGGTGTCCTGGGGTGGGGTGGGGCAGGCACCTGGGGGATCCGCACCTGGCGCTGGAGGGTGCCGGGGGTCCGGGTGGGGCGGGGCGCTGACGCAGGTGGGGGCTCCATCCTGAAAACCTCTACGCAGGGAGAGTCGAGGAGGCAAATCAGATGCCCCCACGGCCGTGCAGCTTCCCTTCCGCCCTCCCCTCCTCCTAGGTCTCGGGACCAGCCTCTCACCCGGCTGGAGCTGGGGGACGGGGGGCTCTGCAGCGGGGCTCTCGGGGCTCGGAGGAGGTGAGGAGATGACATACTGATAAGAAACACCCGGGTTTTCCTCCTGAAAGATCATCTGGGGAGAGAAAGAGAAGATAATGAATGTTTGGGGTGGCAAGGGTCCCCTACCACTCACCTTCCCCCCATCTTTGCCCCCAGAGGGAGCAGCCCCCTCCCCGGCAGTCCTGCTCCCCCAGGCCCCAGCTCACGTAGACGTCCACGGGCTGGGTGGTGGGGCCGTCGGCGGACAGGCTCTCCCCGGCACCCTCCTCCCGAGGAGGCCGGTTGTACTGGAAGACAGTCCCACCGGCGGCGTAGGACCCCGGGGGATCCACAGCCCAGTTTCCATTGATGATGGACCGGCCCCCAGGGCCTCGAAGTGCTGGAGGGGGCGGTCAGGACCGGGAGGTGAGTCAGCTGTCCTCCTGTCCCACCACTCCCTAACCATTCAGAGCCCCGCTCCCCCCTGCTCTCCTGGCCTCCTCCTTCCTCCCCCTGGGGCTTGCTAGGCTGCACGGGGGTGTGGAGGGCAGAACCAAGAGACCGGGGAGCCCCGAGAGCTCACCCAGGTAGTTGGAGCTGGGCCGGAGCTGGGCGATCTGGAGCTGGGAGGCTCCGGCCGGAATCCGCAGGATCTTCTGATAACCCAGAGGGCCCCCGCGGTCAGTGAGGTTCCCCGAGACGAGGTGGCAGGTGGAATCGTCACCCCCACAGACTCCACAGCCATCTGGACGCCGGCCAGAGCCGAGGATCCCGTCACAGCCTGGGCTCTGGAGGAGAGTGCAGTGAGGCAGCGGCCACCGGGAGCCAGACCACCTCACACCTCAGCCTGGGCCTCCCGGGACCATTCCGCCCTCCATGCCCCTTGATCTTGGCACCACAACTGAGAATGTGTTTCTCTCTCAGCCCCGCCAGCCTCGGGGAAGCCCGGATGCGCCTGAGGGGAGCCTCCTTGCCGTCCACCTCCTGGCTCTGCTCGCCCGGCCTGGCAGGTGAGAGCTATCCTCCTCCACCCGCCGGGTGTGTTGTTGTTGTAATGATAAACGAGGAGACTGTGTGCGCACGCGCCCCGTCCTTCCTCACCAAACAGCGTCCGGCCACACACATGTCCAGGGCTCCTGGCTGACACAGGGTCCCGTCCTGGACCTTCTCAGTGTGACGGACATAGAAGCGGAAGCCCCGGGGACGGCAGTTCAGTTCACAGCGTTGGGATCCCTGGACTGAGAGCCGGGGTGGGAGGGAAGGGGGTTAGCTGGCCTCCCTGGGGGGAGTTGACAGGGAAAGGCCCCCGGGTCCTGACGGAAGCTTGGCTTGTATTAGCTACCGGACATCTGGGGGTGGCCTGGGTCACCGTGGGCGAAGGGAACAACGACAGTTCTGTGCTCGGAAAAGTTCGTTTGAGGGTCACTTAGAAGTTGGGTCGGGTCGATTTAGGTCACCGAGACCAGGGTTGCGAAAGAGGAGAGATACTTGAAACGCTCGACTGTGTGAGTTCAGAGCTCAGGAGGGGCTATCTTGGTATCAAGTTGACAGGCCCCAAATCAAGCGGATGGTGACTTGGGAGCTAGTGATATAACCCCACCCAGGCCCCGGGCACACGCCCACCCTGCTGTCACTCCTGGACAGGATCTCGCCCCCTCTGTCTGCTTCACCTCCTGGGACGCCTTCTCCCAGAGGGAACCAGACAAAGGGCACCTCTGGACACATCCTCTCCCAGCCTGACCCCTCTACCGACCGCCCCTTAACCTGACCCCGTCTGAGACACTCCCCCTTTCCGGCCCGAGCTGTTCCTTCACCCCAGCCCTGGGAAACAGAAAGAAAATAGGACGCAGTAGAAACATGAGGGCCCACAGAGGAGAAAACGAGGGGTGAGGTGCCACTTGCCCGGTCACCCCCAGTCTTAAGCCTCCTGCGGGCGGCCCCCCCTCCCTGTCCAGGGATGGGCTGGGAACCTCACCTTCTGTGAAGGGCTCCCACTGGTACAGCTGGCCCATGAACTCCTGGGAGTCAAAGGCTGCACACTGCAGGGCCCGGGGGTCTGGATGCTCAGGGGGGCAGGGCTGAGGTGGGGGGATACAGAGGAGTCAAAGCTGGGGAGGAAAACGGGGGTGTGGATCAGGGCTGGGTTTGGGGAGTAGGGAGGAGGTCGGGTCTATGGAGGGGCTCCAAGGCCCTTACCCTGAGGAGGTCAAATGGAAGGCCCCTCTCCCTCAGGTCCAGATCTGACAGGCTGAGGACCCAGAGGCAGGGTCAGGGAAGCAGTAGTGGAGGGGGTGTGGGTCCGAGGAAGAACTCACCGCGTGGCTGCAGGCTCTCAGCTGCTCAGGGCAGAACCAAGAGACCGGGGAGCCCCGAGAGCTCACCCAGGTAGTTGGAGCTGGGCCGGAGCTGGGCGATCTGGAGCTGGGAGGCTCCGGCCGGAATCCGCAGGATCTTCTGATAACCCAGAGGGCCCCCGCGGTCAGTGAGGTTCCCCGAGACGAGGTGGCAGGTGGAATCGTCACCCCCACAGACTCCACAGCCATCTGGACGCCGGCCAGAGCCGAGGATCCCGTCACAGCCTGGGCTCTGGAGGAGAGTGCAGTGAGGCAGCGGCCACCGGGAGCCAGACCACCTCACACCTCAGCCTGGGCCTCCCGGGACCATTCCGCCCTCCATGCCCCTTGATCTTGGCACCACAACTGAGAATGTGTTTCTCTCTCAGCCCCGCCAGCCTCGGGGAAGCCCGGATGCGCCTGAGGGGAGCCTCCTTGCCGTCCACCTCCTGGCTCTGCTCGCCCGGCCTGGCAGGTGAGAGCTATCCTCCTCCACCCGCCTGGTGTGTTGTTGTTGTAATGATAAACGAGGAGACTGTGTGCGCACGCGCCCCGTCCTTCCTCACCAAACAGCGTCCGGCCACACACATGTCCAGGGCTCCTGGCTGACACAGGGTCCCGTCCTGGACCTTCTCAGTGTGACGGACATAGAAGCGGAAGCCCCGGGGACGGCAGTTCAGTTCACAGCGTTGGGATCCCTGGACTGAGAGCCGGGGTGGGAGGGAAGGGGGTTAGCTGGCCTCCCTGGGGGGAGTTGACAGGGAAAGGCCCCCGGGTCCTGACGGAAGCTTGGCTTGTATTAGCTACCGGACATCTGGGGGTGGCCTGGGTCACCGTGGGCGAAGGGAACAACGACAGTTCTGTGCTCGGAAAAGTTCGTTTGAGGGTCACTTAGAAGTTGGGTCGGGTCGATTTAGGTCACCGAGACCAGGGTTGCGAAAGAGGAGAGATACTTGAAACGCTCGACTGTGTGAGTTCAGAGCTCAGGAGGGGCTATCTTGGTATCAAGTTGACAGGCCCCAAATCAAGCGGATGGTGACTTGGGAGCTAGTGATATAACCCCACCCAGGCCCCGGGCACACGCCCACCCTGCTGTCACTCCTGGACAGGATCTCGCCCCCTCTGTCTGCTTCACCTCCTGGGACGCCTTCTCCCAGAGGGAACCAGACAAAGGGCACCTCTGGACACATCCTCTCCCAGCCTGACCCCTCTACCGACCGCCCCTTAACCTGACCCCGTCTGAGACACTCCCCCTTTCCGGCCCGAGCTGTTCCTTCACCCCAGCCCTGGGAAACAGAAAGAAAATAGGACGCAGTAGAAACATGAGGGCCCACAGAGGAGAAAACGAGGGGTGAGGTGCCACTTGCCCGGTCACCCCCAGTCTTAAGCCTCCTGCGGGCGGCCCCCCCTCCCTGTCCAGGGATGGGCTGGGAACCTCACCTTCTGTGAAGGGCTCCCACTGGTACAGCTGGCCCATGAACTCCTGGGAGTCAAAGGCTGCACACTGCAGGGCCCGGGGGTCTGGATGCTCAGGGGGGCAGGGCTGAGGTGGGGGGATACAGAGGAGTCAAAGCTGGGGAGGAAAACGGGGGTGTGGATCAGGGCTGGGTTTGGGGAGTAGGGAGGAGGTCGGGTCTATGGAGGGGCTCCAAGGCCCTTACCCTGAGGAGGTCAAATGGAAGGCCCCTCTCCCTCAGGTCCAGATCTGACAGGCTGAGGACCCAGAGGCAGGGTCAGGGAAGCAGTAGTGGAGGGGGTGTGGGTCCGAGGAAGAACTCACCGCGTGGCTGCAGGCTCTCAGCTGCTCACTCTCCCCAGAACATCTTGGGACGGGGCTACTGGGAGCAAAGAGGCTCCACTGGGAGCTGGCGTGGGGGCCGGCCCTTAGCAGAGGCAACCAGCCATCCGGGTATCCAGGGGCAGACTCTGCGGGGGACCTGGGGCGATTCCCCCCAGATCGCCAGTGCTCCCGGCTCTGTTGGCCTCGGCCCCGGCCCCAGCCCCGAGGGACAGAAAGGAAAGGATTTGGGTGTCTCTCTGCCACCTGGGGACTGGCCCAACCCTGGGAACTTGGCATTCTTGGCTGAGGGGACACATGGAAGGAGACAATTTCTCCTGGGGAGGGGATAAACGAGGGGGGCTCTTTGCCAGAGGCCTGAGCCCTGGGAGGGGGCCTGGTTCTCGAAGGCACCTCTGTCCGAGCAGCCTCAGGGCCTGGGGGTTCTGCAGCGGGGGACAGGGTGTGAGCAGCTGGTTGCACAGGAGGGAAGTGAGTTTGAGGGGTGTGGTTTGCAGAGGATGGCTCTGCTCCTGGAGTCAGGGAGGGAAGCAGCTCTGAGGTCTGGGAGAGCTCGGATCTGCGTGGTCTCTGGCGGTGCCGGCGGTTCCGATGGAGTGGCAAAGCAAAGGGCACCCTCCCGTAACCAAACATTCCTGGCTTGATGGGGTCTCGAACCCGGGACCTGAGAAGGTGTTGCAGACATAGGGTCACGGCTCTGGTCGTCGGTTACCTGGCCTCCCCTGCCCCCTCTACTTCCTGGCACCAGAGATAAGCACCCACTCCAGCCCTCTGTCCTCCTCCCCATTCCTTTATTCCAAGCCCCAGCCCTTGCCTAAGGCCCACCCCTTCCCTCAAAGCCCCTCCCCTCACCTCCTGGCTCCTGGAGTCTCCTGGGCCTCCTCTCTCCCTAACTGGGAAGCAGGACCTCGCAGTGGGCCACCTCTTCCCTGAGGCTGTGGCCTGTACAGGGGGAGAGTTTCTTGGGGAGTTTGGGGTCTGGGGCCCTGACTTTGGGAGAGCGAGATTTCTGGATGTCTTGGGGGCCGGGACGGGAAGGGTGGGCCCTGGTGGAGTTGAGCTGCAGGGAGCTGACAAGTCCGGCTCCTGTGCTGCACCCCCACCCCACATGGCTGGGAGCAAGAGGCCCACTGGTCCCAAGGACCCCAGACGCCCTCAGGGCCCTGGCCGTCCTCAGGGGGGGTGTGAAGAGCGTGTCCAGACAACACCTATGTAGACAAAAAGGTCAAACAAGATTAGAATGATTTCAGAGGGAGCCATACAGAGAGGCTCTAGTCCAGTGATAGCGAACCTATGACACTCATTTTTTTGGTTGATTTTTCTTTGTTAAATGGCATTATTTAAATATATAAAATAAATATCAAAAATATAAGTCTTTGTTTTACGATGGTTGCAAATATCAAAAAATTTCTATATGTGACACGGCACCAGAGTTAAGTTAGGGTTTTTCAAAATGCTGACACGCCGAGCTCAAAAGGTTCGCCATCACTGCTCTAGTCCAATGCTCAAGGCTCAGGGAGGCTGCTACCAGCCCAAAGCTACATTCAGTAGCAGAGGTGTGATCTGGCAAGGAGCTAGGGAGTTGGGGAGGCCGGGGGTGGAAGGGGCCGTGGTTCAGCGGGGGCTTTGGAAAAGGGAGGAATGACCTGGAGAAGTGGGTGGGAGGTCAGGGGAGATGCAGGGATCACAGCCTCTGGTCCCTGGCTCACCTCCTGGTCCAGGCAGAGCTGAGGGAGGGACAGAAGCAGCACCAAACCAAACGGGGGCCTACAAGCCAAAGGCGGAGTGGGGACATCAGATGGAAGCCGGAGTTGGTCTTGCGACACTGCCCCTCACCCCCAGCAGGCTCCCCACATCCTGATGCAGATTCTCAGAAAGCAGAAGTTACTCAT